CTGCCACAGCGTGCTACGATGATTTTTGGAACGGTGTTGGCAGTACTGCCAGCGCTGACAAACAATTTTGGAACACAGCCTTCCAAATACTCTGAACGTTACGCTCCAAATGCTACGCTCCGATTGGTCCATTACTATTTCGAATGCTACAATTGCTACGTGAACGCTCCAGCCAACCCACCTCCCGAGGTGAGGTAGTTGAAGCGAAGTGGGAGCAAAAACGATGACGTATTGATGACGTAATCAGAGTTGCTGGAGAGCTCAGAGCAGCGTTCTGATGGTCCATCAAATGGACCAGTCGCATATCGGTGCTACAAATGTAGTGTTTGAAACGCTAAGTGGACCGCAGCCTATAACTGTTAATACTGAAGATGGGACCGAAACGTTTATTTTCAATAAAAGATTTAAAATAATTGCCACCGTTATCTGGTGTTCGTGATATATGCCTTTCAGACAAATAATTGTTTGTTTTTATTACAACCACGTTTTACTTTATTTAATTGTTATTGTTTTTCTTTAATTTTTTGAATATCACACTGAAGATGACACAATGTGAGTGTTGAAACGTTTGTGATTTGAGTGTATAATAGTTAAAAATTATAATAATTTCGCATATAACGTCTTGCGTAGGCTTTTATGCTCTTTAATAATAAATTATTTTTTTAGTCATAAAGCCTGTATTTATAATAATTTATAAATTGTATTTTAACAAAAAATGAATATTCCAAGTTTAAATCAGATTTAGCCAATTATTTTGTAATGATATATTTTAACACATAAAAATTCTAAATGCGATTTCAGCGTCGATAAATTTTTCAAATTGTTTATTTCAATAATAGAGCCAAAGATTAATTACATTATAGAAAAGATATAATATTATATATATGTATAATATAATAATATTATAATTTTGTATAATGAGAAAAATATATAAACAATCTGAAATTTAAAATATTCCGTTGTAATACTTTTTTTTATAATACTTCAGTGGCACTGCAATCAATCTATATAATTTATATAATGCCAAGCTGTATAGCTTGTCATTACAATATGAATAATAAAAAGACTGTGGATAAAGCGGAAATTTGCAACATATAATTGTAGTGGAATAAACCAGGTTTTAAATGATAATAAACTTAATGACACTGCGGTCAATCTATTTAATTTATATAATGACAATCTGTATAGCTTGTCATTAAAATACGAATAATAAAAAGACTGTGGATAAAGCGGAAATTGCAACATATAATGATAGTGGAATAAACCAGGTTTTGAATGATAATAACTTAATGATAAAAAATAAGAACACACAAATAGAACATTATTTGCATGCAAAATTTTTATATAAATGTACATATGAATAAACATTCATTTTTTATGAAGAATACCGATTGCTCGTTTAAAAATAAAACATCACGGTTATTTAAATATGTAAATATTATCATATATATAAGGTCTTTTATTGCTGCACTCCGAACCAGTGCAATAAGTTAAAGTGAAACAAACGTATATTTGTTTCACTTCAACTTAGTGCACTGTGTGTACTAAGTGCGGCAATAAAAAACAGACCTATAATGTCACAATGTGTAGATATTGTATATACTGTCCAAGATTAAAATTTAATAAGTATGTATAGTTATAGAGTCGATGTATACATTAACATAAGATTTTAGCAAAAATATCAACTGACTAAAAATATCCGCTATTCTTAATAAACATATTTATTTACTAAACAATGTACTGCACTTGCTACAACATATTAATAAAAACATGTTGCGAGTTATCAATCGTTACATCAATAAAATTATCATTTTAATAAATGCATATAGTAATTATTTTCATTCCTATGTATATCCTGTTATTTCAAAAGACTATTTGAGTTATTATAATGGAATTTTCTATAAAGGAATTAATTTTTTATCATAGTTCACACGTCCCCGTTTTTATAGATAAGTACATGTCATAAATACACGCGCCTGTATGAGATGCATGTAAAATTTTTTACTTAGAAGAAATGCTAAGAGGAATTTCCCGCTTATCGGCAGAATATTTTTTTTGTACATATAATGATTTATTGCTATAGCGTTTTACAAATGATTTTTTTCAGCAAAGTTTTATAAATAAGCTTTATTTGTCTTCATTCATATACAGATATTAATTTCTGTTACATTTTGCTGCTTATAACTATTAATAAGAGATTATTTTATGCAACGATATGGATAAATTATGCAATGTTACGTCTGACGTAAAAATAACAAAATACATAATTTATCATTTTGATTAAAGAATCTTTAGATACGTGTTTTCAACATGTTATTCTTTACGTCGTCCATAAGTTTCACAAAGATCGGATTGCCACCTAAACGATCAATTTCAGTTCTTATCTTTTTTTCCAATTCATCAAGTACTTCTTTTGCGTACTTAAATGAGCCGTAACTCTCTAATACTTTAACGCAGTAACGTTTTACTTCAATGTTTTTCGATCGTTGTCTTAAAATATCTTGAATTACTGTTAAGGATTTTAACAATATCTAAAATTTTGTTATAAAAATTTTCAAAATAGAGATATGTTGACCATTTAATTTTCTTATTGTCTACTTAATACAAAATATGTTTCTTAGTATCTACTTATTTCATATTAAATATTGTTTGATAAAGGATACTTATTATTTTCTTATCGTCAGGATTGTTTCTAAGTGCATGAATAATTAGGAAACTCATTTTTCCTTCGGTCAAATCATCGCAATAACTGTTCTCGTTAATATCCTGTAATAATAATAAATTTTGTTAAATTTAGTTCAAGTAATTAAATTAAATTATTGGTTACCTTATCGTAACGTAAATTGCTGTAATCGTCATATATCTGGCGATACAATCCTAGAGTACTTGCCAGCGACAAGACATCTTCTTCATAAGTAGAAAATAGCTTCATTAATTTTACCACCAGTATGGCTAACCAACCACTCTCTATAAAATTAATTAATATTCAAATTATACATATATATGTAATACGCTTCGTATATAGCAGAAGCTTACAAAAGCAAAAATATTTACTTTTTACTGCTACAATATTGTAATCTTTTTCTGTTGGACAGATGAAATTTTCCTTCCAATATATATCCATTCCTTGACCTTTGTAAAATTCCATCAACTGTTCAACGAAAATTTTAACTGCCTGTTAAGATATAAAAATATTTAATTAAAATAAAAAATATATAATCAAAATATATAATCAAAATTACAAAGAAGCGTTATCGGTCGGCACGATAAGTGTAATTTTATAATGAGAATTATATTTTAATAATTTATTTTATGATTTATATGGAAAAAATCGTACATTAAAATAGACTGGATGTTTACGATTAAGTTTTAATTATCTTCAACAGATAAGAAAGGATTAAAGACTGGAATCGACTCAATGATTCTGCATCTTCTTTATGCATGCAGAAAATCGAAAAAGGAATTTTGGTAAAACTATCTATTTCACATTTTGATTTCTGTTATAACATATCAAGAAAGTAAATCACGCTCAGTTTTTCAAAGTTTTACACAGACACAATGCAACTACTTATTACCATGGGATGTAAATTAATAAGTTTTTCACAAGTAATAAGTTGTAAATAATTTGCAGCGTTTATTGAGTTGTGAAGTCCATAAACAGAATGGGTTACGGGAAAACCATTTCGAACAATGGCCTCATCTTGAATATCATCGAATCTATCAAAAAACAAAAACTTTATAAATATATAAAAATATACTCAAATTAATCTTTTCAGTTAATAGAGGGGCTGTATTATCTTTCTTGATTTATTTACGTTAAAAAAAAGTATAATAAAAAAAGGTAAGGTCAGAAATATAACAGCAAGTTGTAACAGCAAGACAATAATTGATGTGGAAGATCAAGATTTATCTAAAAAAATTTTAATTTTTTATATAAATCATTGTTAAAACATGTCATACCTCCGCAAGAAGAATGACATAAATTTTTTGAATTTTGTATTACGAGCGGATCGTATTCTAAATGCATTGGCTTTCAGGAAAAGTGATATATATGTTAAATTCAAATACTTGCTAAAGAAAAATAGTACAAGGAAAAGTTTTAAAAGTAACATCAAGGGTAACATATAACACCATAACAAAATTAATATCTACATTACTTCTGGAAAATTTGAAACAATTTGTGATTACTTCTAATAAGTTAACTTATATATAATTCTGCCACGAGTAATAAATAATAAATTTTATAAAATACACAATGTTCTTTCTCCCCCACCCCTCATTTTTCTGAATAATTTTATGTTAAACTGAAATTTTATAATGAATTAAAGTGACTTTTGTCACTTTCCTTGCGGAAAAACGATATATAGATGTAATTACAAAAAGAAGAAAATATTCGTAGTACATTAAATTCTAGAAGAAAATGTAATTTTCCTTGGAAAGGTTGTATCTTATGTTTTATTGTGCGCACATGATTTTAACAAAAATACATAAGTCAGTTATGCTTCACAACAAAAAATAACTTACACGACCATTATATTAAAAGCCATTTGCGCTATTTCATCAATCAATTGAAATTTATCGGGTGATACTTTAAACCAATAGTTGAAAAGAAACGGTATTATTCTATATATATGTGTATCATTACATTGCAGACTGTATTCGACTGGGTCTAAAAGTATCTACACAACAGAAATTAAATAAAACAAGTAATAAAACAAAAGTTAGTAAAATTGAATTATGAAAAAATAAAAGAAAAGATGTTAAAACTGACCTTGTCCTCCTCCGTATTACCGTTCAACGAATGGTAAAAAGGTACAATCTTTTTCATGCCTGTCATGTTGCACTCTAAATTATAGTGATACGTAGGAATCTGTAACTTTGACAAATTTAAACCGAATAGTAAACGAGTTGGTAATATTATTTAATTCCTTGCCTTATAATATCGAGTGATGTTCGAATCACATACCAAACGTGGTAAATACGAGCAAAAGTGAGATCCCAACAACACAAAGTCAACAAAAGGTCGACTATATGTTGACTTGGGAAGTCAAGAGAATGGTGGAAGGGATGACATTGTAAGATATTTGTATATTTCTTAAGCCTAATGTTCACAATACTAGAAATCGGTCCGAGATCTCAGATAGAGAAAAAGTTAACAAATCACATTTGAACAATTTGATCACATGACCATTGCGATTGGTCAATTCTTTCTTCATCCGAGGTTTCGGAACGATTTCTAGCATCGTAGACACAAGGCTTTAGAACATATACTACTGGAAAATAAGCCGCTGACGGCTGACCGTGAAGCCAACATCTGTGCGAAAGAAAAAGGTAGAGGCCCCTTTGACTGCAATACGCATGTGCCACTCATCCCCATTTAACCGCAGTGATGTAGGTCGGGGCGTTGGGCCGCGTTTTTGGCGCATGCGCTCAGCGTGAAGGCCGCGACACAGACTTTTGCGTAATGCGTAAGATCACCGACGAGATATTATTAAAGAACGACATCCTTACGGGAGTTCGCGTCCTTGTGAATATTGAAGTGATTAATGCGGGGTCTACAATAGAAGTCGTAGCGGTCGTAGAGTCTTAAGTCGTAAAAAATTAATCAATCGCAATCGAATATGATAAGAATAATCGACTATGTATTAATAAATTTTCTACGACTTAAGACCCTACGACCGCTACAACTTCTATTGTAGACCCCGCATAAGAGTTAAAAATTTATAATATTGTACTAATTTTATGATTTATTAGTTTAGTAGATGTAGGGTAAAAGCAGGGATTATGGAATAGCTTTTTTTAAATTAACATTGCTCCGATATAAATGCATATGAAGACTTCAAATTTACACAGAACTCTTGAGGAATATGTTAGCTACAACATCCAATAAATAAAAGTCGCCAAAATTTAAGTCCAACGTCAATATTAACAAAACAGTCAAAAGTGAGAATTAAATGGGGGGTCTAAAAAATGGGATGTAATATAATGGAATACCGATGAAATTTTGACCATAGTAATAAATAACACAATAAATAAAGTCCAAATTTGTTTATTTATATAAACTGATCAAGAAAAATAGAAAACTGTTCAATTTTTATTGTACAATACACAGAAAATATAATAGCATCATTACGAACGTTATTACGCATGGATAAATAAAAAATCGCAAATAAGCTGATAAATCGCAAATAAACTGATATAGAATGCTGCAAGCTAACCTAACCTAATCTGATCACGAATAAGTTGCTAACATGCATGGAATCTATTCCATATTCTCAACCATCGATGTATTCCACATTACCTGCATGTCGTCATATGACAAATAAAGTCTTTCCGTAGCAATAAACAAGTTTAAAATAGCAATTAATCTGCATAATATTGTTCATGCAACATTATTAAAAGCGTCTGTGCAATATAAGCATTAAAAAAACTTACCTTCAGTTTGTGAGAACACTTTTTAGAAAAAGTTGCCGAATCTTCTGGCGTAACGAAAATAAATGTTAATTGTAGCAAAACGGTTGGTCGGACCGAGTTCATTGTTTGTTATAACATGTTTGGTAACAGTTGCAATAATTTTCAGCGATTGCCGTCAGATTGCAATGCTTTGTTTAAAAAATAAGCCACTATTCCATATTAGTAGTCTATGCCATAATCCCTGATTTTACCCTATTTATGCATTTATAACTCAATAATACTCGGATTTTTCTTTAAAATTGAGATTTCAGTGTTATCATCAAAGTTTGATTATCGATAAAGATGATAATTGCAGAGAAAAAATTGTGATTTTTTTGCAATATACAGGGTGTCCCATTTTAAATGATCCAGTCAAATATCTCGAAAACTAAACCCAGTAGACAAAAATGTTTTAGACAAAAGTTGTTTGACTCGAAGGGGGACATAAGATGGTGCCATCGATTTGATAGTCCTCTGAAGGTCACCTTTAATTTTTTAAATGAAACCCCTTATTTCTCATTGCACATTCTTACAGCTTATCTCGAGAGCTTTCCAAAACACTATAATTAAGTTACTTTTCGTTAAGTACTAAGTTAAGTTATAGCAGTGAAAAAGAATAAATATCATCTAAACTTTAGGGAATAATTATTAATATTTCTAAAAATGATGTTATTTATTTCTTTATGAATTATAAGAAATAGGGTTCCTAATAAAGTAAATGGTTGTATGTGCTATGATTATCACTGTGTAATTACTTTACACAATTTAATATTTTAATAATAAATTTTTGTACGTTAAATTCATAAATATAAAAGTTATTATTTGTAAATGTAATAATTATTTAGCAAAAAAAGTTTTGCTAAATAATTAAAAATTTCATAGAAGATACATAGAAGATTCATAGAAGGACCTAATGTATTTGTCACGGACGCTCCTGAGGCTCAGCGTCAGGGTCCGCGCACAAAGATGGTTGCAACTGAATCGTAGTCGTAAGTCGTTGTCGTAGGTCAACGCACAAGGATTTTACGTATGTCGTTTACGTATATCCTATTGCG